GGACTATTGTAGGGGCTATTAAGGGGGATACTAGGAGTTTAGATTATAGCTCATATGCGGCAATGTCATCAAATGTTTCTTATGCTGCTGCAGCACCTGAGGGCTCTGCCACACATCCACCTTCAGATTCGGCGCAGCCTTCTGGACCTTGGATTTGGTCCACAAGCAAAAAATACTACGACTGTCAACTTAATAATTACTCTTCCTAGTCCTAGTCCAATTACTATTTATACTACTATTCCTGCTAGTATTGCTGGGTCATGGTTTGAAGCAGGCAAGGCCCCAGCTGCCGCCTCCATCTTGCTGAAGGTGGCGGCGTCGTCCAAGGATACAGCTACGTGAAAATTTTGGATCTGCAGGCAGGCATTCAACACTTCTAACTCCTATTGTTCCCATCAGCTGTAGTTGGAACAATTTTGCTGAATCCACTGCACTTCGGCAGCTTAATCACATATTTTCGTATGTCAAGCATCTAGGAGACATTACACCAGTAGCGCACCCACACATCGTGCTGCGGTTTGCATCAGATCATCAGCCTTCTGGTCTTATCTGACAGCTTTTGTTTTGGAAGCTGCTTGGTGGTCCTCCCACGCGTTCTAACATGAATTAGCCTTTCGTAGCAAGTCCGAGTAAGAACGCATTCCGCACAGCAGGATGCCTCTTCAAGCTGCGCCAGAGAAGACAGGCATCTTTCAAGGCAATCTGGTCGATTGTGCGCTATGACCTGAAGCAAGTTTTAGGTTCAACAGCAGCACTCGAAAACTGTGCAGTGAGGTCGAGGTCTCTTTAATCTAAAGCGTGATTTTCGTGAAGTTGCTGTTCAGGGCTTCTGGCAATGTGACGCATACCAAGGAGAATCCGTCTTTTGAGAATTCCCAGCCATCGCTAAGTCAAGAACGACGACAACGAGCTCACCAGGCCTGACAGCATTCAACTATCCATCCTGAGTTATGGACAACCAAATGGCAAAGAAACTTTAAAAACGTAAACTGCGATGAAAAGAAGGTTTGTAGGGGATTCCCAAAATCAGGGGTCTCTTTTTGGGGTCCCTGTAGCGAGGATTCTATTTATGAGTTGGGTCTGCACACTGCACGCAAGCACCCAAGACTGCGATTTTTTGTTTCGTGGCTACATGGCGTCAGGTGCATCTTTGATCTAAATGAAAATTGTTGACTTCACACGGTCCTTTTTGAGGAAAATATCCGCCAGAATGCACAGGACATGAAATCGGACTTGTGGATTTCTATGCTGCTTTGCAATTTATCATATGCCAACAAGTTTTTACACTATCGGATTCAAAGCAAAGTTAATTCAAATTGGTAGTTTTTGTGGTCCTAGGAAATGCCTCAATTTAAGTCCATCACAACCAGTCCCGAAGAACAAATGATGTTGCGGGTAAGTGTTGGGCAGCTGTATTCTTCGGGGTATGCGACTGGCGGAACTACCATTATTGTGAGAATGGCGCATCATCACCTGGCAGTAACATCAACAGAATACTAGCAATTTCCTTGCTGGCAGTAGTGGCAGTAGCTGTTGTTGAATTAGGAGCAGGAGGAGGAAGAGCAGGAGTAGGAGTAGTTGCAGCAGTAGTAGTAGTAGTCGTAGTAGTCGTAGTAGTAGTAGTAGTAGTAGTACTTAGTAGTAGTAGTAGTAGGGCCTTATCGCGTATTTGACGGTGGTGTTTTTGCTTATAGGTGTCCAAAATCATTGGCAGGCGCAGCATTCTCAGCATTATCTGCCACGAATTTGCCAGGGCGGCCAAACGCATTTTACGCCGCGAACCTTTGTCTCACAAGAAGTAGTTTTGAGCTGTCGCTGCCATGGGGCGGCGGC